AGATTGCCCACTCCTTTAATCTGCGTTCTCTTACATTTCCTCGCCTGTCCTTACCACCACTTTCAATTGCACACTCCGTTGTTGCAGTTCCTTCAGTCCCGGATCTGGCTCTGGACTGTGTTCTGTTCGAGGCCTCACGCTGCCTTGCTTCCTGGCTCCTGTGCTCCTACGTTGATGCTATCACCCCTTCATGGAGTAGGTTTCCTAGAGAAGTTTACGGTTTAGCTGGAATGCAGGGTATCACCTGACTTGTTGCGTTAGCTTTGGTTCTAGGAGAGCCCAGGAGTGTAGGCTCCTCAGGAACTCCCTTGGTCTCAATGACTGTCAGTGTCTACAAGCACACAATGGTCTAGGCTGCTGCCGTTTGCAGGGATGGCCTTGTGGCTCTGCAGTAAGGCTCTCCCGGGAGGTGTGCCTGTGGCTCATCAGTCTCCCTGCTGAATGTGACAGCCAGGGCCTTGTTCTTGGTGTGAGGACGACTGGTAGCCGCCCTCTTGTCCCACTGGCAGACCCGAGTCATGCCAGGGCCTGTGGCAACGACTGCTGTGGCTGCAGCACTGTACGACACCATGACCATGGTCGTGTTCTCAGGTCCTCCTAGGAGAGTCCAGCTGGTGCTGCAGCTTCGTGATGCCAACAGCCCTGGTCCTGGGACGAGGGGCTGTGAACTGAACCTTGCTCCAGTCCTACAGGGGAACTACCATGTACACAGGACGCTGCTCTGCAGGTTGAATCCAGAAAGGTGCAATGCAGGTAGGTTCTCCCCTGGGCCCACCAGGCGAGATCCCCGCGGCACTGGCTGTCGGAGTCCCGCGTCGCAGAGTGCAGCAGGGTCCCTGCCCGGGTCCCCCAGGGCTGCTTCTGGTGTTTCCCCCTAGAAGCTGAGGTGAATCCTCTGGCTCGCGTGCAGCGTGAGCACAGCTCTGGGGCGAATGCCCAAGAACTCCCACTGCTGCAGACGGGGGACCTGGCCTTGGCCCCACACGGTGCCTGGCTGACTTACTCTGGTAGGAATGGACTGGAGCTACACTGAGCCTGGCGCTCCTGGGCTGGGGGGAGGGGAAGGAAGCCGCACAGCTTCCAGGCTGAAGGCTTCCTTCGGGCTGCTGTAAATGTCAGTGGTGACTGGAATTCCCTTTCAGTGACTGTTTCCCACTCTGCCATGGCAAGACGGCTGCTCACACCTGGCGGCTGGCTGCAGCAATCTTTCTCTAAGATTTATTTATTTGAAAGCCAAGTTATAGAGAGGCAGAGAGAGGAAGAGAGACGTCTTCTATTTGCTAGTTCATTCCCTAAATGTCTGCAATGGCCGGAGCTGGGCCGATCCGAAGCCAAGAGCTGGGAGCTTCCTCCAGGTCTCCTGCACGCGTGCAGAAATCCAAGCACTTGGGCCATCTCTACTGCTTTCCAAGACCATAGCAGAGGGCTGGATCCAAAGTGGGGCTGGGAGGTCTCAAACCGGTGCCCATATGAGGTGCCCTCACTGGAGGCAGCTATGCCACAGCACCGGCCCCCAGTGTCTGTCTTCTCTCCTCCTGTCTCATGGAGTCTTCATCATTTTTCACTTTTTTGTTGAACATTTCTGGGAGACCCCTGGGGACGAGGTCCTTCCTTTGCCCCTTTGCCCTTCTGGTGCACAGGACTTCAAATTCCCACGAAGGCCAGGCCTGCCGATCTTTCTCTTGTTGCCTGTGCACTTGGCACATGAAGGACAGCAATGCCAAATTCATTGTTATGAAGCTGTTTTTCTGAGAATTTTGTAGTTCTAGGTCTTACATCTAGTTCACGGCTCCATTTTGAGTGAATTCATACAGCCAGCTGCCAGTTGCTGTTCCTTTGAAAGGTCTATTTTTCGGCACTCTGCTGTGATGTGCCTATGGTGTAGGTTTCTGTTATTCATTTATCCTGCCTGGGAATCAGTGAAGCTCCGGCAGCCTCAGCTGAGCTTGTGGGCTGTGGGACATAGTCTTCCCCCTTCCACGTGGCCCCGCCCCTCCCTCTCCTTAGCTCCTCCTGCAGGGCTGGGCCTCTTCTGGACAGCTTGCCGCCCTTCTACCCAGAGTGCTGAGTCTCCATTCTGCCATGCATCCAGGTGGCCCTGGGTTTACCAGGCCTTGGCTTAGGACTTGTTTCACAGTGGCACAAAACTGACAGGCATTCAGTAGCATTTTTAATTTTGATAATTTTCCAGGCTAGGCCTCTGCAGTCTGATTCTTGCAGTGCTGGACACACCAGCAGGCACGCCCAGTCAGCCCCACGGTTGCAGGGGGAAAGGACCAACACTCTACAGTGGACACTGGTGTTTCCAAGCGAGGATGTCCAGCAGGTGTGTCAGCTGGCTTTGCATCACCGTAGCAAATCCCGGGGGGGTGTTTGGATGGAAGGGAAGGCAGGGAGGGAGGCTCTGGCTCTCACTGCGCGAGTTCTCAGTGGTTCAGCTGTCTGGTGACAACGGCAGAGTGTGCACAGAGGAGCAGTCACAACAGAAGCCAGGAAGCAGGGGCCAGCCCTCCCGTGAGAATGTTCCGAGGGCCTCTCACCAGACTCACCTCCTCGTCAGCGCCCCTACCCTAACGGTGAGGCGTACACAACTGCATGCGTCAGGGAGACGAGCTGTCCATCCCACCGCAGAGGTTGGGTACATGAAACCCATTCGTCTTCAGTATTTCCAATATGACAGGCCTGTGGGGACAACACCTTATCATAGGTCCTGAGGCGTCCTCGTCTTAGAAAGTCCACGCTGGAAACATGAGTCTGTGGATCTCTCGCAGGTCTGCTCCTGCCGGCCATCGCTCCCTTACCTTTCCGTCACTTGGTCCTATTTTTCCTGTTTCTGTATAAAGCGAAAGCAGCTCTGGTCTTTCCCTGAGAAAGCATTTGGTTTTCCTTTGGCAGAGGTGGGGTGGGGCCAGCGGAAGTGCTCAAGGCTGTGGAGACTCGTGCTCCCCAGGCTGTGCGAGGGCTGTGCGAGGGCTGCTCTGCAAGGGTCCTCCGCAAACTCCAGGGTCATGGCAGATGGGCTCCCCTGCGCAGGAGCAGCCTGATGCGAACCAGCACCTGCCTCTGCGGGCGCCGCACCCTCGCCGTTGGGCCTACTTCTCCAAGGTTTCCTTTTCCACAAGACCTTGTCTCCTGGTGTCCTGGCCAACGTGACAAAGCTGCTGGCCTTCCCAGCCCAGTGCCACCACTGGCTGACGCTTCCTACGACGCCTCACAACCAGGTCGTCCGCAAATGTCCCAACAGGAACATCTGAAAAAAAGGTGGGAATACAGGATTTTGCTTCCTCACATCTTGGCTTCCTTGGCTACATCCTGGTGTCTTCCAAACGCTCTTTATATTATTGGGTGTTTAGTGGTTAAGACGCCAGCTAAGATGCCCATGTCCTGGGGCTGGTGCTGTGGCGTAGCAGGTAAAGCTGCCACCTGCAGTGCCAGTATCCCATATGGGCACCGGTTTGAGTCCTGGCTGCTCCACTTCCAATCCAGCTCTCTGCAATGACCTGGAAAAGCAGAAGATGTCCCAAGTCCTTGGGTCCCTGCACCTGCGTGGGAGACCCAGAAGCTTCTGGCTCCTCATGGGTGCAGCTCCAGCCGTTGAGGCCATCTGGGGAATGAACCAGTGGAGGGAAGACCTCTTTCTTTGTCTCTCTCTGTGTAATTCTTTCAAGTAAATAAATAAATCTTAAAAAAAAAAAAAAAAAAAAGATACCCATGTCCCACATCACAGCTCTGGCTCCTGTTCTCAGCTTTCTGCTAAAGGCAGATGTGGGAGGCAGATGATGGCTCAAATAACTGGGCCTCTACCACCCACATGGGAGACCTGGACCAAGTTCCCAGCTCCTGGTTTCAATCCCGCTTTGGCCATAGGTGAACCAGCAGATGGAAGCTCCCTAATTAAAAACATATATATACCTTTTTTAAAAAATACATTTTTTACTTGGCCTTGACAGCTTTTGGGTAAAGGCTGGTCCAATTCCAGCGTCGGCTCATGTTCAGAAGTGGAAGGGAAAGGAATTTTAGCTTTAAATAAAGTTGTGTTTTATTAGGATGTGGCTGCTGCTAATTTTATTCACTGAAGACAGCTCTGTGGCATGTAAAGAGCTTTTTTTAATACCTGAAAGAGAGAGAGAGCTAAGTAAGTTAAGAGATTTAACTAAAATATCTAGCAGGGCCGGTGTTTGGTACACCACCAACATACCACATCAGAGTACTAGCTGCTCTGCTTCCAATATGGCTTCCAGCTAATGTGCCTGGGAAGGCAGTGGACAATGGCCCAAATACTTGGGCCTATGCCACCCATGTGGGAGACCCATGTGGGCCAGGCTCCTGGCTTCATCCTGGTCCATCCTTGGCCACTGTGGCCATCTGGAGAGTGAACCAGTGGATGGAAGATCTCTTATTCTCCCCTTGAAATAAATTAGCAAATCTTTGAAAACAAGATTTCATCTGGAGGCAGGGAAACCAGCAGAGTTCAGGTGATGGAGAGCCAAGGTGGAAGGCATTTCTCATGGCACCAGCACATGTTCGCCTGGTAACAGGCAGTCACTGCAGCGCTGGCGCTGGCGCTGGGCCTCGTCTGTGAGCACCGTGGGAGGGTAGGGATGGCTCCACCTCAAGTGCCACAAACACAAGAGAAGCCATGCTTTCCCTGGAACCCTTTTCATACACTGTTACTCAGAGCACTCCTGTGCAGAGCAACCCCGCGGGGCTGGGAACTTAAAAAACGTCAACAGAAAAGCTACTCCAGAAACGGGCGGGTCTCCCGAGAGGCACGAGGGTGCCAGGGCAGTGTCTCAGGGCTGCCCGAGGGCTCCCCAAGCTGATGCCACACTCCTAACCTGGCTCGCCAGGAACCCAAGACCTGGGAAGGCTGCACTGTCGATACTGTCGCCAGCAACGCCGCAGTGAGAACAACTTCCACTCTCCAGTGCCGCACGAGTGTGGCTTCCACACGTCATGTTTTATTAGCTGAAAAATAAAAAGCCACTGCCCACCAGCACTAGAAAACTGCAAATAAAAAGTTTAATTTCAGAAACTGAGTTCACCATTTATAAATACACTAAACCATAGTCAAATGCAAATTTAGATTAAGCATAGGTACAGTATTTTAAACAACTTTTTCAAAAGGTCATAGGCAAATGAGTGATTTAGCTCACTCAGAATATTTAACTGATCTGAAATGAGAAAATGAACTTTTTAAAAAGATATTAAAGCAAAAACTCCAGAGACACTGTTAAAGAACCTGACAACTGATATTTCATTTCATTCTGATGTCCTCAGGATTCTAGGATACCCCAGTGATGGCTAAATCTTCCCTATCACGAAACAAAAACAAAAACAAAAACCTGAGCACCTAAGGCTAAGGCTACCCCTACAACTGGAACATGACAAGCTGCTTTCCTGTTGATACGCCATCTCTTCTAGAACCTTCCACGTAATCTGACCAGACTGGGGGCCGGTGCACTTCGGCAGACGCAGTCAGTGGCGTGGGGGTTTGACCAGCAGGCACTGGCCAGCAGTCAGCATGAAGTGACACACTGAGGTCCCGTGGCAAGGGCCCTCGTGAGAACAGTGGGACATCTCTGAGTTCTGATGGGAGGAAACCTGAATGCAAGAACCTGAAATGGGAGCGGCCCGGTGACTGACAGCCGGCGGACCAGTCTCCACGCCACGCCCAGTGCAGCCAAGCTCTCCAATGCCAAGTCTGGGTCGCCGTGAACAGTCTCCTTCCACCTAGAGGGCTCCCTTCCTCCTCAGCTTGCTTAGCGCCTGCAGTGAGAAACCGCTCGGTCAGCGCGGCCTGACCGCCGCCTCCCACTCCCAGACCTCGCCTGACGGCCACAGAAGCCCTTGCTGCAATCAGCGCAGTTTTAGCTAAAGTACAGTACCTGATTTGTGTTTTTACATAATTGAATAAAAAGCCGACAGAACAAAATCGTTTACATCTTCTCGCCGCGCTAGTAAAACAAATCACTAACCCCCGACTTGTAAAAAACTTTACAGCTATGAATTAAAACCTAATCGCATTTCATAATCGACAAGACTGGCTATGTCTAGCGGACTTAAAACACCGCGATCCCTGGCCTGGAGGAGCAGTAAGGCACGCGGAGACATTACGGTGAGCGCTGGAGGGTGGCCCTGAGAGTGCCTGGTCCATGTCGTGCACGGCCCCAGCGGGAGCGAGCGAGAGCCCAGGCAGAGGCTCCCCGTGAGGGCGGCTCTGTCGAGTGTCAATACTGGAAGTATATTAGGGGGAGGTTCACTTTCAGGAAGATCAGTTTCTCAAAATGCTCCATCATGAGCCTGGACTGGCCGCAGCTGCCGCTCTCGGTGGGCGTGCTGAACAGCTTCTCCGAAGGGACGGTGCTGGGCGGGCAGCCCAGAAACCTGACGGCCAGCGCGGACAGCCCCGGCCAGGCGGCCTTCTTCAGGGCCCAGTAGGCGAGCGGGTCACAGCTGTGGTCGATCGCCTCCTCCTCCAGGTACGCGAGCACCATGTCCTCAGGCAACTTCTCTCTCTGACCTTCCTTCTTCACCTTGGCCACGAGTGACCACAGGTCATCCCCTCTGGCACAGTCCTTCGAGGGGGAGCCCGCGTCGCAGCCGCTGGAGGCAGGCGTGGTATCTGAGGTAGAATTCATTAGTTCTAGCTCCCTGATCAAGTCTCGCTTGTACTGCTCGGCCTCCTCCTCCGTGAACAGGGAGGCTTTGTAACGAGGGTCCAAGAGCGTGGCGAAGATGTACCTGGGGTCGTGCAGGGTGGCGGCCAGCCGGCTGACCATGGCCTCCTTCAGAGACTTGAGCATGGTGTCGATGCCCATGGTCTCCTGGGCCAGCGTCTCCATCTTCCTGTTGAGGATGTGGATCATGGGGATGACCTGGCTCAGCGTGGACACGCGGGAGCGCATCTCCCGGCTCGCAGCCTCGAAGGGCTTCAGCGCGTGGCACACGGACTGCATGACCTCCCACTGGTCGCAGCTGATCAGCTCTCTGAAATCGCACTCGGCCGCCATCTCGCTGACGGCCCGCTTCTGCTCGATGAGCCGCTCCAGCATGTGGAACGAGGTGCTCCACCTGGACGGGACGTCCTGCAGCAGGTGGTGCTGGGGCAGCTCGTACGCCCGCTGCAGCTCCGCCAGCTTCTCCTTGGCCCGGGGCGAGCGGTGCACCCGCTCGCAGACCTTCCGCGCGATGCTCAGCAGGTTCTGCACCATCCTCTGGCTCTTGATGGCCTCGCTGACGATCAGGTTCACCGTGTGGCTGAAGCACTGCACGCTCGAGTGCTCCCCCTCGTTCAGGGTCTTGGCGATGCTCGGGTTGTCCGTGACCGTGATGCCGACCTGGAGGCCGATGGACGTCACCCAGGCTTCCCACCAGCACTCCAGCTGCTTCTGGATGCTGTTGCCGCTGTAGTCGCAGTCGACCTGCGACACGTCCAAAAGTGCTGAGCAGTGGTGGTCCTCACAGTGGGGCCGCGCCGACTCGAAGGTGACCCAGTGAGCCGTGAGGGTCAGGTACTCCCGCGTCTGGTTGCTCATCCAGATGCCGGACGTGAAGTGGATCACCCCGCTCTCGGCTCCCCTCAGGTGCGACACGATGATCTGCTGCACGTTGTCGTACATGCCCGGGATAGCCGTCCTGGAGAAGTAGGAAGGAGAGGGCAGAGAGTACTGAGGGTTCAAGTATTCCAGCAGCCGGTTAAAGCCGACGCTGTCCACCAGAGAGTAGGGCTGGAGGTCAAGTGCAATCATCTCGGCTATGAGGCTTGTGATCTTTTTGGCAACCGGGTGAGAATCGTAAAACTTCTCGGTGGTGTCAAAGGAGGGCGCCCCGGGCAGTTCCGCGCTTGGGGGCCCGCGGGGCACGGGGGCGTCGGGCTTCAGCGCGCTGCCGTGGAACCGCTGCAGGTGCCGGAGGAGGCAGCTGGTGCCCAGGTTGGTGGGCTTCTTCCCCCGGCTGATGGTGCGGCCGCAGTGCAGGCACACCACCTTGGTGGAGTCTGCGGAGCAAATGGAAAAGTGGTTCCACAACTTCGAGGTCTTCTTGCTACTCACAGGAAACGTGGCCTGACTGCCCCTGCTGACCGCCGCCGGCAGGTCGGCCAGCCTGGAGGAGGAGCTTTCTGCAGAGGCCAACGTGGCGTACGGAGAGTTGGCCAGACTGGCTCCCAGAAAGCCCTTCTGGCCCCCGACGACTTCGGGGTGGCGTCGGTACAGGTGGCGCATCAGGCAGCTGGTGCCCACGTCGCCCTTCTTGCCCCGGCTGATGACGCAGCCGCAGTACCGACACACGGCCTTGAGGCTGTCCATGGGGGCCAGCGAGAAGTGGTGCCAGACTTCCGACTTCAGCCTCTTCATCACCTTCTTGTTCTGCTGGAAGACGGTGCCGGCCTCCGGCCGCCGGGGACTCGGCTCGTCAGCCTGCTGCTTCTCCGGGGAGGACACGGCCGAGGCCTCTCCCACGTCGTCGGAGGAGGACAGCACGGACGCGTCCTCCAGGAACGCGTCTCCAGGGTTCAGTCGCGACTGCAGGTCGTCAGCCAGCCTGTCGGGGGAGGAGGCGGCCGAGCGCGACTCTCCGACCAGCTTCCCTGGGGAGGACCCAGCGTGCAGCTCGCCCTCGGGAGGCAGCAGCGCGGGCAGCAGGGTGGGCGAGGCCGAGTAGAGGGGCGGGATGCCCGGGCCGCCCCCGTTCTCCCGCAGCACGATGGAGCGGTGCGCCCGCCACATGTGCCGGATGAGGCAGCTCGTGCCCAGGTCCTTCCCGTTCTTGCCGCGGCTGAACTCGTTCATGCAGTGGATGCACACGGCCTTGGAGTTGTCGAGGGGCGACAGGTAGAAGTGCTTCCACACGGCCGACCGCCGCCTGGACCCAGACGCGCTCTTGGGCAGCGGGAGGCTCTTCTCCGCCAAGCCCTCTGCCGCGTCGTCGTACTGGAGGGCGGGCAGCTGGGGCGACGCCCCTGCCAGGACCTCTTCCCTGCCGCACTTGTCAGAAACAGACATGTCCGAGGAGACGTCTTCAGAGGACACCACGGACACCGACTCCTCCGTCACTCGGTCGGGGGACGGCATCTTCGAGGCCATCTTCTGCACCAGCTTCGCGGGCGAGAGCACGGAGCCGAGGTCGCCCACGTCCGCCGGCTGCGAGGGCAGCAGGAGCGAGGCCGAGGGCAGCGCGGCCACGGCGGCCACGCCCCCGTTCTCCGGGACGAGCACCGTGGGGTGCGCCCGGCGGACGTGCCGCATGAGGCAGCTCGTGCTCAAGTCTTTCTCGTTTTTGCCCCGACTGAACTCCTTCATGCAGTACATGCAGATGGCCTTCGTGCTGTCTCTGGGCGAGATAAAAAAATGCTTCCAGGCGGGCGACTTCTTCCTGGAGCTCACGTGGCGGCTGGAGAGCAGGCTCTGGGCCACGGCCTCCATGGCCACGTCGTACAGCGTGCTGCTGTAGCGCGAGAACAGAGGCCCGTACTCGTCGTCCTTCTCCCTCTCGGGCGGCGCACAGGGGCGGCCCGGCCCTCCGGCCTCGGCCTGCTCATCCCCGCTGTCTGTCTGCCTCACGTCCTCCTGCTCGCTCGGGAAGGCCATTCTTTCCAAACCGTGACCAGGAATCTGATCATCCTCCTCTTCTATTTTAAAATTTACAGAATCCAAATCCTCATCCCCTCTGGGACGAGCTTCCTGGTCATTCTCCATGACTGACCATAACTATTCTGCTTGATTTGTTATGTCAGCATCTTAGAATAAAAAACAGACACAAAGGCTCGTGTGTGCCCCTGCGGGGAGACGGCCGCGGCCTCTGCGTGACGCCGCCGCCTCTCTGGCTGCTCCCGCACATCGCTGACACGCACACCGCACGACCCCTGGAGCACTCGGCACTGCCGTCCGGAGAGTCTGTGGCTAAGCCCTTCATGGTATCGGCGTGCGGCTCTGCAGGGCAGACGGGCTTCTCACGTGCAGACAGGACCCGTGCCACTCCGCCTGCAGCGCCCGCGTCCTCGGCATCACCTGTGAGAGAGGAAACCAGGGTGAGCACAGAAACGCGGCACAGCTCCGAGTGCCTCTCCCGCTCTGGAGACGCCAGCCTCAGCGCACGGAGAAGAGCTTGCTCGTTACCTGCCACCCACACCACCCACACCCGTTAGCACTGCAAAGGAGAGTGCAGACAGGACTTCCCACTCAGCCGCTCAGCCGCAGAAGGGCTGCGGGGCGCGGATACCGCCCTACCACCTCTGCCCTCAGGCCACCAGAGGAACTTGCGGCCGCTACAACCGGCAGAGCGAGACTCCTAGCAGTGGTTCCTTCTGCTCTGCTCTGGGAACCAACATTCAAAACAAGAATCTTGGGGCCTGCGCTGTGGCATAGTGAGCTAAGCCTCTGCCTGCCGCAATGGAATCATATGGGCGCTGGTTCAAGTCCTTGGGCCCCTGCACCCACGTGGGAGACCCGGAAGAAGTTCCAGCCGTTGCAGCCATGGGCGGGGGGAGTGGACCACCAGTTGAAGACCTTTCTCTCTGTCTTTCCCTCTCTCAGTAACTCTACCTCTCAAGTAACTTAAAAAAACAAAAGCTTCCAGTTCACTGATGAAACAGTGTGCAGACAAAACCGAATATAAGAGACGCACCAAGGTCCTACGCCTGAGGGCCGGGGCGGGCACCGGGCACAGCAGCTAAGCCTGCGATGCCGGCGTCCCACACTGGCGTGCTGGCTCGAGCCTGGCTGCTGAAGCTCCCGGGAAGGCGGCAGAGGACGCCCCACATACCTGGACCCCCCCATCCATCCAGGAAACCCAGGTGGAGAACCAGGCTCCCAGCCCAACTTCAGCCTCACCCAGCCCTGGGGATGAGCCCCTGATGGAAGGTCCCCCCTCCTCTGTCACTCTGCTTTCAAGTAAATAAATAAATAAATAAATATTTGGGGGGGCTGAATTCCATAGGAGGAAAGCCACCTCCGACCAGTTTCCCTCCTGGGAGGAGCTGGGCCACTGTGGGGAGCAGGGACCGGCAGACCGGTACAGACCACAAGCCTGGAACTGCAACGAGTGTTACAAATGAAGGCAAAAATCGTAACAAGACAGGAGGGGGCGGCGCTGTGGCTGGTGGGTTGGAGCCCCAGCCAACAGCACTGGCATCCATGTGGCGATGGTTCGCGTCTCGGCTGCTCCACTTCTGCTACAGCTCTCTGTTAATGACCTGGGAGGGCAGATGGCTCAAGTCCTGGGACCCTGCATCCATGTGGGAGACCCAGAAGAAGCTCCTGGCTCGGGATACAGATCAGCTCAGCTCTGGCCATTTGGGGAGTGAACCAATGGATGGAAGATCTCTCTCTCTCTTCCTCTCTGTATAATTATGTCTTTCAAATAAATAAAATAAATCTTAAAAAAAAAAAAAAGAAATGAAGGCACATATTGAGACGACACAGGAGCATAGAGGATGGAGAACAGCAGTGGGCACATCAGGACACAACAGAGGCAAGACAGTAAAGACGATGACGTCATAGGGGGGCAAGAGCGCAGCAGTTTATTATAAAGTAGAAAAAAGTGGCAGTATGGCAACACTCCCACTGTAATAAAACTGGATACTAGAAAATCCCATAAAAATTATTTTAAAAATTTATTTATTTGACAGAATTCTCATCTATTCACTCCACAAATCTCTGCAATGGCCAACCCACATGGTGCCAGGGACCCCACTACTTACACTCAGGCCACTGGAGCCAGGTATCAAACCCAGGTACTCAGATGTGGGACACAAAATTCTTTCTCCCTTTTTAAGATTTATTATTTGGGGGGGGGGGGGATTGACTGATCCTCCACCTACTGGTACACTCCCCAAATGATGGCAACAGCTGGCCCTGGGCCAGGTGGAAGCCAGGAGCCAGGAACCCCATTCTGGATCTCCCTCGTGGGTGGAGGGAACTCAAGACTTGGGCCATCCAGATCAGACCTGGAGCAGTTGGGGCTGGAAGCGGCGCTCTGATACAGGATGCTGGCGTCACATGCGGCAGCTTTACCCGCTACACCACACGCTGGCCCCCAAGCAAGAGTCTTAACCAGCATCTTAGCTGCTAGGCTAAAAACTCGCCCCCAGAGTTACCTGTCCAAGCACTACTGGGCACACAAGGAAGCGGGAAACTGGCCAAGGGAGCTGACACAGCCGGCTGTGCAGATGCAGGAGCTGAGCCTCATACCTCCAACTGCACAGGAAGTGAGGCAGCGAGGGACTCACATCACTGAGTGAGAGCAGCTGGGACAACTGCATGAGCGAAGCCGGCGCACGACTGCCCTGTAAACCGCCCCACAGGAATACAAATCGCTCAACCAGACCAAGTGCAGGCGGTTCTGCAAGAAAGCATTCCTGGCGACTCCCAAGACAAGATTCGCATAACCGTGAACCATTCCAGGGCAGGCATGCAGCCCAGCAGCCACGGGGGCCTGGGTTCCAGTCCTGGCTCGCTCCTGACTCCAGCTTCCCGCCAGTGCAGACCCTGGAGGCAGTGGTGAGAGCGCCAGGCTGGGCACTGCCACCCTCGTGGGAGACCTGGACTGAGCTCCTGGCTCTGGCTCCGCTGGCACTCCGGCGCCGAGGGTCAAGCCTCTGCCTGCAACGCGAGCGTCCCATCTCAGAGAGCTGGCCTGAGGCCTGCTGCTGTGCTTCTGATCCAGCTTCCAGGAAGGCAGAGCATCATGGGCCGGTGCCTGGGCCCTGCAACCCAGAATGGAGCTCCGGGCTTTGGCCTGGCCCAGCCCACTGCGGCATCTGGGGAGGGACCCAGCAGAAGAAGAGCTCTAGCAAATCAATCAATCAATCTACAAAAAAAAAGGAATTGAAAGTCTAGGGCTAGGATGCCACAGGAGATGCCCACACCCCTCTGAGTCCCTGGGTTCAAGTCCTGGCTCTGCTACTGGCTCCAGCTTCCTGCTCAGCTGCTCCCCGGGAGGCAGGAGATGGGTCAAGTGTTGTGTCTACCCCCACCTGGGCGAGGCAGACGGGGTTCCCAGCTCCTGGCTTCCCCTTCTCCAGCCCTGGCTACAGAAGGCATTTCAGGAATGAACGAACAAACAGACGGAAGTTCTGTTTGCTTCTTTCTCTGCTTCTCAAGTGAATCAAAACAAAAACAAAAACAGTAGACATCCTTAAAAGAAAGCTTGTATTTTTGGTGAAAAAAAAAATCCATGCAGTTTTTCATGACATGCACTTTCTTTAAGATTTTATTTATTTGAAAGGTAGATTTACAGAAAAAGGGGGAGGAAGGGAGGGAAAGATAGAGAGGTCTTCCATCTGCTGGTTCACTCCCCAAATGGCTGCAAGAGCCAGAGCTGGGCCCATCCAAAGGCCAGGAGCCAGGATCTTCTTCCAGGTCTCCCACGTGGGTGTAGGGGCTCAAACGCTTGGGTCATCCTCTATTGCTTTCCCAGGCCAGAGCAGAGAGCTGGATCGGAAGGGGAGCAGCCGGGACTGCAACTGGCACGCATATGGGATGCCAGCACTGCAGGCAGTGGCTTCATTGGCTACGGCACAGTGCCAGCCCCATGCTATGCGTTTTCAATGAATTTCTTTTTAGAGGCTTGCACTGCGGTATAGCAGGGAAAGCCACTGCCTATGATGCTGGCATCCCACATGTGCACCAGTTCCTGTCCCAGCTGCTCCACTTTAAAAAAAAAAAAAAAAAAGATTTATTTCTTTGCAAGGTACGTTTATAGACAGAGAGAGGGAGAGACAGAGAGAATGGTTTTCCATCCGCTGGTTCACTCCCCAAATGGCTGCAACAGCTGGATGCGGGCCAATCCAAAGCCAGGAGCCAGGAGCTTCTTCCGGGTCTCCTGAGTGGGTGCAGGGGCCCAAGGGTTTGGGCCATCTTCTACTGCTTTCTCATGCCATAGCAGGGAGCTGAATCGGAAACAGAGCAGCCGAGATTCAACCATCGCTACATGGGATGCTTGCGCCACAAGCAGAGGTTTAGCCTACCATGCCACAGAGCCAGCCCCATCGTTCCACTTTCGATTCAGCTCCCTGATAATGGCCTAGGAAAAGCTGAGAGAGACCTGTATGAAGTTCCTGGCTCTGGCCTGGCCCAGCCTTGGCTGTGGTGGCCATCTGGGGAGTGAACCAGCAGATGGAAGATCTCTCTCTGTAATTCTTTCAAATAAATAAACAAATCATAAAATTAAAAAAAAAAAGGTCCCCTTATATTGGATGCTGTATCCCCAGTGTGGTGACAGTAAGAGGCAGTGGCGTCTTGGCCCCTGGTCACACAGAGCGGCTGAGATGTTACGTGGGAGTTCGGTCATCTCACAAGGAAGTCACTGGTCTTTCCATCTGACCGCCTGCTCCGGCCACCGTGCCGTCTGCCGTGAAGCCTCCCCGAGTCCATGCTCTTGAACCACCTCAACTGTGAGCTCAAGAAACCTCTTGGGGCCGGTGCTGTGGCGCAGTGGGTGAGGCTGCCACCTACAGTGCCAGCATCCCACATGGGTGCCAGTTTGAGTCCCGGCTGCTCCACTTCTGATCCAGCTCTCCGCTGTGGCCTGGGATGGCAGTGGAAGATGGCCCAAGTTCTTGGGCCCCTGCACCCACGTGGGAGACTGGGAAGAAGCTCCCGGCTTCGGATTGGCGCAGCTCTGGCCATTGTGTCCATCTGGGGAGTGAACGAGAGGATGGAAGATCTCTCTCTCTCTCTCTCTCTCTACCTCTCCGTAACTCTGCCTTTCAAATAAATAAATCTTTAAGGAAAAAAAAAAAAGAAATTTCCTTCAAATCACCGAGCCTCAGGTATTTCGTTATAGCAGTAGGAAACTGATACATATATATATGAAATGTTTTTTAAAAAATAGAGAAAACCAAGAAAAACAAGCAAAAGTCAGATTATAAAAAATGGGCAGCGGCCGGCACCGCGGCTCACTAGGCTAATCCTCCGCCTAGCGGCCCCGGCACACCGGGTTCTAGTCCCGGTTGGGGCGCCGGATTCTGTCCCGGCTGCCCCTCTTCTAGGCCAGCTCTCTGCTGTGG